TCCATCAAACACGTATGTCGATACAGCGGCATATCCCTTGAGTATGTTGTGCAGTTTATTTCACAGCACCTTAGGGCTTGCCAGAAACTTTCTACCAGATTCCTACTTAACCCATCTCACCCACTGTAACCTCATCTTAGTCAATGTATCTTCACATCTAACACTCGTTCTATGTATAAACATATAGCAGCACGCACCACTACATACAAGTCTTCTATAATACCGTACCTGGCACGGTTTCTTACCAACGCTGATCTTGTCATTGNGCTTTTGTATATGTAACGTATCACCATACGCTTTTCTACCATGTAATTTCCAAAGAAGAGTGATTGTGTAGTAGCTGAATGTTCATCCCCTATAGGGAGAATTAAAGCCGCTTCTTGACTTGACTCGCTCTCTTCCATCTGAAGTTGTTTGTGATCCAACCATCAATTCATTCAAGTAATTGATTGATGATACATTAAAACATCCACGAGTAAAGGTTATATGTTTTGTTATTTAATTGTATTGCCAACCGAACCCAGTGTGTACAAATCCTATGGGATCCAATGAGCATCAGCTTTGTGATTTAACCACGATGAAAATTTGAATTTGATTATTCCTTAGTAAGACAGAACATTTTTATTGGGAAACATTGCATCAAAACCCTCACATGAATAAACATTTAAAGCAGTCAGTCACACTGGCGTGCTAGGAAAGACTTAATGGTGAACAGTTATGCACAACATAGTAGCTATCAAAAGCCCACCCGTACATCGGTCAGAACACAAAACGGGAATTATTTTCCTCTTGATATTACTCATGAGTAGCGAAAAATTGAAATCATAAAACGATGACAAATGCAAACGAAGTCAAACGATGATTGAAGTAAGGAGTCATGGAAAAGGCGGTGAAATCAAACTAACAAAGGAGAAGAATGGACATGAAATAATAATTCACGGGGATTGTTCAACGTAACGAAATGGGAAATGATCACGAACATAGAATGTTACAGGAGGCTGAACGTCATGTAATCACATAGGCATTGGGGAAGACGTAGCAACTTCATATCCTCTCTGTTCAAACGACGTAAAACACGCCGAAAAGCCAAACGAGTGAGTGCTTGCAATGAAGGCACCTTATCTGTATTGTGAAAAAGTTAGAAATTATAAGCATTTAAAGAGAATCATTTGAAAGTCTATTAGGTCTACAGTAATCAGGACCTATGGACAATATTTAGAAAAAAAGCTAGAACCCAGAGCAGATAAAGACCGGGCGGTTCTAATTTTGTTCAGTGGGGACACTATGCGGAAGTGTCCCCCAAACGCGATTGGTGCATTGCACATCTAAGTAGATAACAACTATTTCGTGTTTTCTTTCAGGGTCGCAGGACTCAAATACAATGAATCAGTACCAAATAGAACGACATATCGAACGTTCCCATCTGATGGTACTCAACTAGCTTAATTGTTTATTCCCGGCAAAATTTCTTTGACTGCATCTTTTGCATACTCATTGAACTTCAAAGGGATCAAGCAAACTATTTTAATTATTACTGTGAAGAACTATTGTCAATTGAAATTCCAGATGTCTGTCAAACTCTCGTCGTATTCACCTTTTTCAAAATAACAAAGTACCAAATGAAAACAACTGAACAAGCGTATCCAACAGAATACAAATAGATAAGTGTAAAAATGGGATGGAAACTTCCTAAATTTACCAATGTTTGCTTAACTGTACTACATTTTTGGTGATCATGCGCCGAAGTTCTCACATCAATAGAAGCTGTTGGCTGCCACTTGGTCTCATTCTTGATGTTTTCGTATTATCGTTGCTAACAGAGCACTGGTCGGTAAAGGCCAGCCGAATTCGACAACAAACAAATCTGCCATCGTCCAAATGATGACGCAGATCTTCCATGGATTTTTAGCATGCCGGTCCAGTATTTCAGCCTCCACTGCGGCATACTCCTAGGAAATGACAATTAAAGTTACACGTACATAATAATAAGTAGAAACACTGCAAGATACGATCTGCATGTTACGAGGGCTGAAGACTAGGTGAGATCAACCTTCCCCAAAAGTCGTTCACCACAGGTAAAGGTCTTTCGCAGAATTCCCGCCATGATTAAGCGCAAGCGTCAACTTACTTTGAGCGTCTTCCAATATCGTGTGAACCAAGCTACCTTGTGTAGAGTAGTCCAGAGGGGTTTTATTGTTCATGTCTACGGGACTGGGATGAGCACCATGGGCCAAAAGATAGCATATCATTAATGCATCACCCTGTTTCGCAGCCATGTGTAGTGGTGTCGTGAGACGAACGCGATAATTGGGGTCAGCGCCTGGAGAAGGAAGCGTGGGAAATGATAGGCGTTGGAAATGGGTGACGTATTTGACCTTTAAGTGTATGTTGTATTGTTGCCACCGTCGACTCATCTCAAATGTGCACAGCTCTTCTTGTATCCTGACGCACTACGACACTTCGTTTTGAGACCGGCAGAGGATGCATCGATCAAGTCCTTAACTTCGATCAGATACCATTGTGCAGTGAAATACAGTGAAGCGAACTTTACTGATCGCTACCAGGCTTACAACACACAAAGTACAAAAGTGTAAAGTGATCAGGGAAAGGTAAAGAAAGTGAGTCTCTGGGATCATCACACAGAGTACACTGTCTAACTGTATATACACACCTATGCAAGGATTCCGATCCGATAAGAAAAGATGAAAAGGACATGCAGTTATTCGATTACGGTCATTCGTTTTAGTGTCTCGAACCAACCTCCTTGTCTTATTGACCTCAACAGGTAGGACGGAGGACACCTACTCTTTGCATTTATTTACATCTCATGTCCGCGCCGTATCGTGTTCTCCATAGGATTTCCTTTATCCTAGAGCAGCACCAGCGAATAAGGCTCCTTGGGATAGAAGTTAGGTCATCACTAAAGATTTTCAGTTCTGTGCATACTGATCGAGCCCTGGGAATGCCGGTGGTTGCCACCTTTATGGTGATACCGTCACCTGTCACGCAACGAAAAGTATTGCACTGGAATTAATGCTTGACCACTAAGCATAAGAGCAAGGGTAGACGACACCTTATCTTGCAGTATTATTCTACACTTGGGAGGTGCAAAGGGCATATTGGACGGAGAAACAGAACTTGTCAGTCAGGAGACCCGAAGGCCTTGCGTGACAGGTCTCTGGAATTTCCCACACGGGAGCTTCGGTCACGCGAAGTATGTCTCGGGCACTTATTTGGAAACCCCCAATTCGATTCTGTCTAGCTGTTCCTCTAACTCCCAAACCATACGAGATGCCTCTTATATATGCTACCCATGAGATATCACTCAGCGTTCAACAAATAAGGCATTGATAAGCCCAAAATCTCCGTTTCACTTGAATTCGCTTAATGTTCACACACTCTATCAGATAGGTCAACAAGCGACCTCAGTTATAACCCTTGAAACTTCCAATTTAGACGTATGTTGTCACCCAAAGACGCATACAAAACCATACTTTGATCATCACTTTGTGCACATCAGATAAAACCTCATCCTCACACTGCACTCTGCATGTTAGGTGATTCGCCATCCGACTCTCGCGATTTTTCTGCTGTTGGGATAGCGTTAAGTGCCAAGGCTGAGTGCTCTCTTCTTGACTGGATTCCAATCAGTAGCCGACTGTGCGCTGTACTTCTCGGCGGTTCATGACGGGTCGACAGCTACAGATCGCAGCGTGCAGTGCACCTGAAATCAAGGATGAATTCGACAAGGATCTTTCTCAACTACAAATTGATCAACGAAAATCATAGTAGTCTGTGGAGACTTCAATGCTCAAGTGGGATCCCTGGACGAACTATAAAAACTTTTCGACGGTCCACACACAACTCCAATCAAAGGGATGGACAACGGAGATTAACTACATCAACTTCGCGCGGACGACAGATTGTTCCTATCAAATGCCAACTCCTCCCGCAAGAAATAACACCGCCTCACATAGAAATCCTTATGCTTGTCACAGAAACGGACTTAGATCGACCACAGCACCATCAGCTACCGCTAGCGGGGATCCTTTCAAGACTGACGCTCTCTCTGATCAACACCCGTGAACATGGGCCATGCTTTGTTACAAAACAGATTCTCCCTATGATTAATTAAAATCGCGATAGAGTCGAAAACGAATACCCGTAATACAATGTAAGCGACGGTTCTAAATCGGCCTTTGAAGCGAAGCTCTCTCGCCACCTTTCAGCTCAACCACTAGCAGATGGACTCAGTGGATACTGGACTATAACCGAGGAATTTATTCAAATATCTAGCAAAATAACTGCGGTTTCTGGAGCAAACGATGAAACTTTTTGCTGGACGCCCGCAGAACCATTACTCTTGATGTCAAATAAGACAGTGCGCTAATCCCTAAAACACCTTGATCACTACTGGCCTGAAGAATGACCGCGAGAAGTGGTGTCTAGCAAAATGTGCAGAGATACAGAAGGCTGCGGCTGATGGTGTCAATTAAACACTTTTTCCGTCTAATAAAGAGTACAGTTCCAATGAAAGGTGTAAGTTGAGTAATCAAAGAATGAGATGGCACACGGATTCATATTCAGCAACGGCACTTTGAAAAATAGGCTGAAAATTTCGAAGCGCAGTTTAACTGACCCCAGTCGACATCATTATTGTACAGAATAGTACGATGAAGCGAACTTCGCTGACCTTTGCCAAACTCATAACGAATACAAGGTCAGTGAGAATGTGTGAGTATATGGATTAGGCTTGTTGTTAGGGTCGGGGAAATAAAGCGAACCTCTATGGTCGATACACATAGTACATAGTCCAACTGTGAATAAACGTTATCAATCATTTTGGTTTAATAAGAAATGACAACAAGAACGCCACTGCTGTCGATTTGCCGCCATGACCTTCATTGTCTCCACCCATCCAGTTACATCCTTTTGGACCCCAACCCGGAAGGCGAGAGACACCTACTCTTCCTCATCACTCTGAGCATTTCTTCATGCCTCGTTTCCACGCATCTACTGGCCTCCATGTGGCTTTCTCCAGTTTGCAGCGACCACTGCAAATAAGACACGGTGTGGTAGGCGACCGGAAGACATGCGCAAAACGCGTCCCAACCAACGGAGCTTATTGAGCTGAATTCGGTGTGATAACGAGTTCGTCCTCGATGCATTCCCAAACACCCGATTACTTATGCCTGGGCTACTAAGCGCGCACTTCATCCCACCTGGGTCAGACTACGTAAGCATCGATAGTCGAAAACCTTAGTCGATGGACATCTCTTACTCGTAAATTCAAGGTCTCACAAACACAAAGCAGAACTGAACGAACGCTAGCACAATAGACACAACCTTTCAAATTCAGCTAAACGTCCCGTCTATGCCAAAGGTGTGATTCATCCCAAGATGAAGGAATGCGCTCTTGCGTACAAATATTGCGCAGTACGGTAGTAATGGAGCTTACGAGGTTATCAACTCCCATCTGGAAGCGAGTGGGAGGGGGCTCATCCCACCCTGCTGCCATTCATTGCTTCAGAGCTTGAATGCAGGACCGAACTTCTGCTTCTGCTGGAGGATCGCGTGACACTGCCCACCGAGCTTCAATTACAGATACTGTAACCCGGCTAGCGGCAGGCCAGCCGAACTGTTCGCCGAAGTATTCCACCCAGTAATTAAGTCACTCATCCATATTGTTAATCGTAGGCTGTTGCACTAACTGGAGTTCGCCGACCTCTCGTATTGCGTATCAGTCGGAACAGTCTTTGACTATTCCCTGATGCAGCCACTACTTCCATTTCACTAGCTATTGTTGCCCACCAGTTCTCACGGTCCTTCTTAAGGCTCTTCGTCAGCCGACGTTGCAGATGCCACCTAACTCTGTTTTGATCCTGGTAG